AGACCCACGATGCGTAAGTTATTTCTACGTGAACGATTTTCCAGATCGTCGATTTTATCCAATATATTTTGCTGTATACGATTGGATTGTGACGTAACTGCTTGTATGGAATGGACTTCATCTTCTAAGTCAGATAAGCGCTGCTCAGCCACAGTTAACCGTTTAGAATGTTCGCCCAAATCTATTCTCAGCTGTTCAATGCCCTGGCTTACAGCCTTATCCACAGCCTGTGTGATATTTGGGAGCAAAATTGAAGAAACTGCCTGGGCTATTTTTATATATTGCTCAGAAGAGCTATCAGTGCCTGATGTGAGTGGAGAGGCAGTGAGGATGGGGGGGAGAGGTGCAGACATACCTGCTCCCACGTTGTGATCTCCCTCTGTGCCTGTGTCCATGCTGTGACAGGCAGCTTCGGCGGCCATCTTGGCTGCAGGAGGGGGAGAGCCGCATCCCTCCGCCCCAGCAGCCGACTCGTGGCCGGACTGCATCGGGAGAAGGTACCGCTCCATGCTGGGGCCGCCGCGGGATGTGAGGAGGCACCCCAAAGCCAAGATGCGGGGGTCCCCGAGGCAGATGGCAGATGTTTATACGGGCGGGTTCCCGGGAGCCGCGGGTCCCGTTAGTCACAGCATCCGGCGCCGGAACCGGAAGTCCAAAATGTACATTTTTAAGTGTGCAAAAAAAGATGCAAAATGACTTCTAGCAAAAGATCTCCAAACTCTCTCTATTTTTTTTGTGTTATCAATTTTTACTAAGTTTTTACAAAACAGAAAAGGAGCAAAAAATGACAAAATAGAACTCCACGACTATAAGAGCTCCGGCACCAAGTATGACAGGTGCTGATGATAAATGTTACAACAGTACAAGCGAATAGAGAACTGTGAAAAATAATCAGTTATAGTTACATGAGTTAGGCAATCTTGTCATCGTTCAACACACGTCAGTTAGGACCTTGTAGTGGGACCTACAAACATAAATGAGCATGGACTGGCAAGGCTTGTCTGTGTACAAGGCTGTGATTACCGCCTGTCTAAAAAAAAAAAAAAAACCCAAGAAAAAACAGAAAGCAAAAAACAACATAATAGGAAGGTCCCCTGTCTGGGGTAGAAGGCCAGGCCAATAACTGGCTGGGAAAAATCTAAACCAGAAAAGAATAAAAGAAAATACAAGAACTGTGTTGATAGGAACTGACAAACCATTTCAGAACTAAAACATCTCTCTATTACACTTTTTTGCTCTTTTCCAGTAATATCAAGATTCCCAGATCTTTAGAGGGCTGCACCTCAGCGAGTGACCGTTACCGTGTCCCTGGGACGTTTATGGACCTGAGCGCTGGTTTTTTGCTTTTCTTTCTTGTGTTATCTTGTACTTTGGGATGTAATGTACCAGGCGTATACTGACAAAGTCCACGACTGGTAGAAGAATCAGCGATCGAGTATATGGTAGTAGGTGAGGACAAGAAAAGGGAAATAATGTCCTTGCTGGTGTTGTAGTGCATAGTCTTGACCAGATCTGAGGTACCATTGGGGTAGATATGGTAAAATCAGTTTACAAACTCCCTATTATATATAAAAATGAAGTATATTCATGCAGGTTAGGGTAAGATGAGAGCTGTGAGCAAAATACAAAATGTAGCATGTTATATAACCCCTTGACACCAACGTCACACAAATATGCGGCCTCACAGAACTGGGCTGTTTTTCTGTGGGGCCGCATATTTGTGTACTTGCCTTTCTGCTGGGAACGTGTCGCACGGCGCGCTCCCAGCACAAAGACCGCGGTGTCACTGAGAGCACCGCGTCCCGTTCTAACGATTGGGACCCGGGACTCCCGATTGCGGATCACATGATCGCTGTGATAGCCTCTGATTGGCAATCACAGTGATCAGTCAATGTTCAGCCTGACCCTCTTGTTTTTTTTCCTGTCTATGAATGGAGGAGAGAGATACATTGTCTCTCTCTAACTTCTGGCATAGAGGAAAAAAAAATGTTTGTAAGAAAAAAAAAAAAGATAAATATTAAAAAATAAAATACAAAATAAAGAAAAAAAAATACCTAGATCAATGTTTGATCTAGTTCAGTGCCAGGGTAAGGGTTTGGGTCAATGTCAGGGTCAAAGGTCAGGTTTAAAAAAATGTTGGTGTCAGTGTGTTTTAGGTTACAAAAAAAGGACACAAACAAAATGCGCACTATTGTTTCTGGGCTGTACTACGGGTACAAACAACAAATGACATACATATATATGGTATCGCTGCAAGAGCTGGAGAATGTATTTTGGGTTGTTCTTTGGTGGTAGGTTATGGTAGTAACAAGAAACACACATCTAAATAAAAAAAAAAAATAATTTTTTTTACTATTTTGGGATAGTTTTCCTTTAATAATAGAAAAAAAATCTAGAGATATCCATTACCATTTACCACTAAATGAAAGCCCACTTTTCCCGAAAAAAAAACAAGGTATACGTCACCTGGATGTACAAAGTAGTTGTGATGATATGTACGGTTTTTACGAACACATGTCAACGTTGCAAAATTGTGCTTAGGCATTTAGATTTGTGTTACATTTAGACGTGAAGGGGCCAAGCATGATAAATACTGCCTAGTCTGTTTTGTTTCTTTTCCTCATTTAATGTTAAAATGGTTATAAAGGATGAATGTTGGGTTTTTTTTTGTTTTTTAACCTTAAGGCAAATTAAGGTAAAAAACTTTATTTTGTCAACTCCCCCCTAGCGCCCCCCCCCCCAGATACCTACATTGAGCCCAATCTCAATCCAGTGCTGCTCCCCAAAAACAGTGGCATTGCTCTCCCTCCTCTCTGGACATTGAGGCAGCAGCGGGAGCCATTGTCTCTTGCTGCTGTCAATCAAATCCAGTGAGGAAGGAGCATGGGGGGGCAGGCATGTGTCAAAAGACGCACGCAGCTCGGCTCAAAGCAGCTTCCTATGTTGGCAGCCAGAGAACAGAAGGAGAAAGCAGGGGGACTCCAGAAGAGAAGGATCAGGGCTGCTTTGTGCAAACCCATTCCACACGGCAGGTAAACAGGACATGTTTATTATTAAACAAAAAAAAATATATTATTTAACTTAACAATCGCTTAAATAAAAACCTGGTGATTTTGCAGCAGAATTGTAGCAGATGAACTTAAAGGGTGATAACCCTGTATTATGAACTAGGGCTTGATGAAACAGACAGTTTGCAGAGCCAAGTACATTATCACTGTTAACTCATCTGCCTTCAACTGATACTGTTACAATTTTTCACATCATTGTTTTTTGGGTTTAAATACACTTTAACCACTTCAAGTCCGGACACTTTCACCTCCTTCCTGCCCAGGCCAATTTTCAGCTTTCTGTGCTATCACACTTTGAATGACAATTGCGCGGTCATGCAACACTGTACCCATATGAATTTTTTACCATTTTCTTGAGACAGATATAAATTTATTTTGGTGGTATTTATTCACCACTGGGAATTTTTTTTGCTATATAAATGAAAAAAGTCCAAACATTTTGAAAAAAAAAGTGTTTTTCTTATAACATTTTGCAAATAAATAATCTTTCTTCATAAATCTTGGCCAAAATGTATTCATCTATCGCTTTAGTAAAAAAAAAAAAAAAAATACCCAAATTAGTTTATAACCAAAATTTATAATTTTTTTTTCCAAAAACATTTTTACATTTTTATTTTAATTTTTTTTTTATAATATTATTTATTTTATTTTTTAACATACTGTCACCCTAGCAGGGTCACCCATAGTGACACTGTATCACTTGTGGGGGGTGATGAAGATCTTTTTTTTTCTTTTACACTAATTGCTTTTACACCCATAAAGGCTGTAAAAGCAATCATTTCTCCTTCTCTGACTGCATTCTTGCAGCCATTGAGAAATACTGTAAGAGCTGTGATTGGTCACAGCTTGTCACATGGTACAAGGCTGTTGTGAATAGCCTTGTACCAAGTGACCTCTGTGATCATTCACAGATTTCACTAGTAGTAAGCAATGATGTCAGCAAGTGACATCTTGCTTACTACTCTTCATGTGATCACTGATTGGCCAATCAGTGATCACATGAAGACCTCACACAGAGGTCCCATACAGCGATCGGTGTTCGAGCGCGCACAGGCAGTGGATGCGGAGGCCGTTTATAAACGGCAACCCGATCCTGCACTGCTCCCGTCCAGCCGTTTATGTACATGGGCCAGACGAGAAGTGGTTAAAGCACATGCACCCGGAAGATTCACCTGCATGTTTGGTGAATGTCAGATGAATTGCTATATAAATATGTCCCTAAGCGTTATCCAGTACATAGCAAACTAACAATTAGGGCACAGTTATACTGCTACACTTTAACACATCTATTCCAATGCACTAAAATGCAGAGGGTGCCATGCCAGCTGGGGAGGGTGCATGTGTGAATCTGAAACCTGGAAATAGTCATCAATGTATAGGTACATCGTTTTTTGCCTACAGCAGCCGCCTGTCCAAAGTACAGGGGTGGGGGTGGGTGTTAAGTGGTTAACCACTTGAGCTCTGGCCATTTTTTGCTATTCAGCACTGTGTTACTCTAATTAGCAATTGTGAGGTCATGCAACACTGTACGCAAATTAAATTTATATCATTTTTTTCACACAAATCAAAATTTCTTTTGGTGGTATTTGATCACCACTGGATTTTTTATTATATACATGAAAAAACATTTTTTTGAAAAAAAGACCCACAATATTTTCTATTTTTGATTATAAGCACATCCAATAAAAAGAGTATTAAAAAAATCTAATTTCTTCATAAATTCAGACCAAAATGTGTTCTACTATTCTGCATGTTTTTGGTAAAAAATCCAAATAAGTGTATATTAAATGGTTTGTGTGAAAGTTATAGCATCTACAAATGGCGGTATTTACACTATATTGCCAAAAGCATTGGGACACCCCTTCAAATCATTGGATTCAGGTGCTCCAATCACCTCCATGGCCACAGGTGTATAAAATCAAACACCTAGGCATGCACACTGCTTCTACAAACATTCGTGAAAGAATGGGTCACTCTCAGGAGCTCAGTGAATTCAAGCGTGGTACCGTGATAGGTTGTCACCTGTGCAATAAGTCCATCCGTGAAATTTCCTTGCTACTAAATATTCCACGGTCAAATGTTAGTGGTATTATAACAAAGTGGAAGCAACTGGGAACAACAGCAACTCAGCCACTGAAGTGACAGGCCACATAAAATGACAGAGCGGGGTCAGCGCATGCTGAAGCGCACAGTGTGCAGAAGTCACCAACTGTCTGCAGAGTGAATAGCTAAAGACCTCCAAACTTCATGTGGCCTTCAGATTAGCACAACAGTGCATAGAGAGCTTCATGGAATGGGTTCCATGGCTGAGAAGCTGCATCCGAGCTTTACATCACCAAGTGCAATGCAAAGCATCTAGAGCAGTGGAGACGTGGACTCTAGAGCATGGAGACATGTTCCCTGGAGTGATGAATCGCGCTTCTCTGTCTGGCAATCTGATGGATGCGTCTAGGTTTGGCGGTTGCCAGGAGAACGGTACTTGCCTGACTGCATTGTGCCAAGTGTAAAGTTTGGTGGAGGGGGGATTATGGTGTGCAGTTGGTTTTCAGGGGTTGGGCTTGGCCCCTTAGTTCCAGTGAAGGGAACTCTTAAGGTGTCCGCATATCAAGACATTTTGGACAATTTCATGCTCCCAACTTTGCGGGAACAGTTTGGGGATGACCCCTTCCTGTTCCAACATGACTGCACAAAGCAAGGTCCATTAAGACATGAATGAGTGAGTTTGGAGTGGAGGAACTTGACTGGCTTGCAGAGTCCTGACCTCAACCCGATAGAACACCTTTGGGATGACTTAGAGTGGAGACTGTGAGCCAGGCCTTCTCATCTGACATCAGTGTCTAACCTCAAACATGTGCTTCTGGAAGAATGGTCAAATATTCCCATGGAAACCCTCCTAAACCTTGAGGACGGCCTTCCCAGAAGGAATGAAGCTGTTATAGCTGCAAAGGGTGGGCTAACTCAATATTGAACCCTACGGACTAAGACTGGGATGCCATTAAAGTTTATGTAAACGAAAAGGCAGTATAATGTATATTTGAAAATTGATTTTCAAGTGATATTAAACCCATTTATTATATTGTAGCTTACCAATTCTTAGATGTGATGGCTGTATTTTTTTTTTTTTTTTAGACTCTTTATTTTCACCTGGTGATCTAGATAGCAAGTCTGTTTTTTTAAAAAGCAAGCTCTTCACCACACTGTATCCGTATGTTTGCCTAATCTATACTGTATATGCCTACTTGGGTTCTAACTTATAGTTCAGGACAGTATTCATGATGAATGAGGTTGATTTGAGTCCCCAAATGTGTGTTGGATTATGTTACAGAAAGAAATCTTTTATGGAATGTACAAACTAGTGTGGCGCTTCTATCTTTTAATGTTTTTTAGCAAACTCCTCTGAGGGTCCTGCAGAACACCACAGTCGTTGGTGAGCAGCCTCCAGAACCACATACAACATATTATGTACCAACAAACCACAAGGTTCACTGCTCCTATACTACAAAAAGAATACATTTATTGACAGATGGAAAAATTAACATGGAAAAAGTTTCATCAATAGAAATACCATATAACTGTATAATAATATAAATATAAATTCTACGTCCCAAATCTTTTTTTTTTTGTCAGCTAACTATGAAGGACCGATTGTGCAATTGTTCCTTGTAAAACATTGGTGTTAAATCGCCTTTTTCTTCTGACCACTAACTCATTTCTTTGGGTAAATTAAGCTTTGATCACATTTTACATTCAGACGATGGCATCCTAACATATAAAATTCTGTGCCTGGTATCTGTACATTAGGAGTATGTGTGGTGCCATTGAACATTTTTTTCTAAACAGTCATCAAGGGAATCCAGCTGTATCTAAAGAACATTGCAGGGACTGTGTGTAATAATTACATGACGTGATCATAAAGATGAACACATTTGTTAAAAATGCTATGTGCAAAGTATTTTAGGCTCCATCCAGTATGTGTATAGAATGTCTATAAAACTATCAGCTTAAAATTAAACAATCGCCTAACATGCAACAGATTTTTTTTTTTTGGGGGGGGGGGGGGATAGATTGGAAAAAGGGCAAGACTATCTGTCAGGTTTCTGCTTCTGTCTGTGTCTCTGCTAGGGAGAATGACCCTATCAGTCCTGGTGACAATTTTCAACATGGCAAAATCCCCAAACCTTTGAGTTGTCACCAGAGCAAGAACAGGGGGAAATCTTCCAATGGTAATGACTGATGGAGATTTTCCTTACTTTGAATTGATTTCCTCCCAATTCTTGTTGGTTCTACAGGACTGGACATAAATGGAAATCTCCCTAATGGGATACAAGGTTTTAAATATTCCCTACTCTATCCAGAACAAAAGAAAACAAATAATTTGGCTTTAGATATACTTTTTGTGCTAAAAAAAATTCATATATGCTAAAGTAATTATAGTGGTATTAAAAAAAAAGTTGCCCATGACTCCAAAGTGTTCTGATTTTGGAAGAGTATCCCAGATATTAGACCGCTAGACTTCCAGCTCTTAACAAGATATGGCTTGTATTAATGGGGGCACAGTTGCCAGATCTGTGTATTCTTTTTTAAGTTGTACATTGGCTCAGGAAGTATGGATAAGTAAGTCTTTGAAGACGGTTCTCACCTTGGCACAACTGACTCTTTACTAAAGCTACTGCAGGTCACTGATATGTTAATCACTCTCAATAGTAAACGCCTTTCATATAGGATATCGAGTGCTGGTGTAACTCCCATGTAAGATTTAATCTCAGTTTAGCCACTCCTTCATATATAATGTCCTGACATTGAAAGTCCCATGCTAACATTGGACTGCACTTATATAGTTAACATAATGGTGCTGTTTGGCTTTAAAATTCTGTTTTTATTAAGACTCGAAAATCAGGTTTCAAATGAGGTCCTTTTAAATGGCTAGAAAAGTGATGAGTGATGAAGAAATTGTCTTCTTTGTACATTTCAATGTGTGTCTATTGTTGCTTCTCCCTCCCAACTACTCATTTCATTGGAATCTGCTCTGTGCCATGTAGACCTTGAACTAATTGAGTTTCTCTGGATAAAAAGAAAATCATAAAAAAAAGATATCCACTAACTTCACTTGGATTCCCTTAAATTCAAAATTGGTGCTGAAAGACTGAGTGATAAAATAATCATATACTTTGCAGACTTCAATGTGCATCTTTTGTTGCATATTGATGTAACTTTCTGTGAGTCTTTTTCAAATGGGATAATTTACATTTTAAGATGAGGAATCCTTTGAAGAACATATGCACTTCTAGTAAAAAAAAGTGGTGAGAAACCATCCCTGTTATGGGAAACATGAACTAGGGGAGGAGGGTCGGATAGAAGAGAGAGACCGTCCCTTGTCCGCTGGATTTTCATCGTGTTTCTCTCTCTGGCCTTGCTAATCTTATCTCTTTACCTACCTTCTTCTCTAAAAACATTTCCGACAGTGGTGAACATGGTTTCTCAGACATTCTCCATACCTGGCCTGTACCACTCTGGATAGGTGGCCAATGCAAGGTTTCTTTTCCCGATATATAGGATATTTTTTATCGTTAAGCTCCCCAGGACATACATGTTTTATGTAGTCTGACGAATTCTACCTAAAACTATGCAACCTTGCCAGTTTGTACTGTGTACCTATATCGACTGTTTGAATCCTTGATCTAAATAATATACAAAAACATAATGTAAAAACAAAACAAAACAAAAACCACATTCACCTCTCGTAAAAAAAGTGGCGAGTTCCTCCAAAATTGTGAATGATATTCCAGGGAAGATTATCTCTTTTCACACCCAAACTAGTCATCTCATTGGAATTTGCTCTGTGGCTTTGGAAATTTTCAAAGAGTTTTTGGTTAAGACTAAAACAACGACTGCCTTAGAAATCCACTGACTTCACATGAACTTAAAACTGGTGCTTAAAAAGCTATTTGGTAGATTTTGAAGTCACCAACCCAGTTAGCTTTCTTTTCAGCAGAAGAATCCGGACTGGTTTCAAGCTTCCTAGAGTCATCCAACTATCCTCCTTGGCCGGCCTGAGAAGTAAAAAATATTCCCCAGGAAAAAGAGAATTTCCACCAAAAGGGGAAACCCCTTTTAAATTGGTCTGGAAAACATTACAGGTGACTTATCCCCCATGGATCCCTGCACTTATTGAATTGAATAACCTCACAGAAAAACTCTGTTAAAGCTCGTGGCATGGGAGAGACCTCCTCCCACTCTGACCTGTTGCTGTGGTAGACTTGCACTTCATCAGTTATTTCATCAGGTGCATAATCACCTCCCAGGATGTAAATTTTATCTTCAATACCCACAGCTCCAGCGTTAAAACCAGCACACTCAAAAGATCCCTCCCCCTTCCACACACACGTGTCTGGACAGAAGCTATAGACTTTGTATGTGGAAAGGTCGCAGATATACAGCGTGTTATTCACAGGCACTGCTTTGATTAATGTTGCATGGAAAAACTGGCCAAATTCTGCTACAAGTTCACTCCATTGATCTGTTTCTGCATTATATTTAAAAAAACAGTCTAAAGAAGGGTTAAAAGCATCTGTTATTTCAACTTCAGATCCGAGTACGTAAATAATAGATTTGCATGCGCTGGCTTCTGGGTAGTAGATCCCTCTGGGTAATGAGCCAACTGTCTTCCAGTCCTTAGTGAGAGGATCGTAAGCTTCAACATCTAGTAGACTGCTAATGTTTTGCGCTCCTTTGGTTTTCCCACCAATGACAAATAACTGATTAAGGGCCATGACAGATGCATGCATTGTTCTTGGTTTCCTCATGGGTGGCACTAAAAAAGAATTATTGCTTACCGGACAATAGCACCAGGTTTGGTCAGTAGCTTCGTGGTGGGGTTCAGCAATATGAAGCCTCACCGCTCGACAACAGCTACCTGTACATCCCCCTGTTATAAATATCTTCTCCCCATAGCTAGATAGGCTGGAACCGGGGAGATCGATGATATGTATCTGTGGAAGTTCCATCCATTTGTCAGTTTTGATACTGTAGCAAAAAGTGTATTGAGTGTCCCCATCCTCCGCAGTTTTGTGGACAAAGATGTATTTCTCTGTTGTAGCTATCCGAGCATCTGGAAACAGCCCCCCAGAATGTTCAATGCATTTTATAGCAGAATGGATTCTTGATAAACAGTTTGTGCTTTTTAATAGTTGCTCTTCAGAGACCAGCATACTTTGCAGTGTGGATGGAGACAGCTGGTGTAATCTAACTTTGCTCATTAACTCCGGAAAAAACCTAATTCGCTTCTCAAAGCAATGCTTAGTCCAGGCTAGCAGAGCCGTCAGCACAAACTCTTCATCCGGGACATTTAACTCATCTGATTGGAGACATTGTTCTAGGACTCCAACATTCAGTTCCAAAAAGTCCAGAGATTGTGCTAGCAATGGAAAGTGCTGAAGGGCAAACTGTAAGGCACGGTGAAAGAGTCGAGTGGAGCCGTAGCTGTCTGATATTGACAAGAGTTGCAAACAATTTTGAACATCAATCATTTTGATTAAAAAATCACTGCATGCCTTTGCAAGCAGAGGCACCTGAAGGAATGACGACATCTGAAAGAACATATCCACGTTGCTGTCGGTAATCTCCGCTTTGCCCGTGTAAGCATAATCAAGGAAAGCTTTCACAGTTTCTGGTGACAAATTGCTAATGGTGACACTTCCATCTCTTTCTTTCATGTTGACTTCAAACATAGCCCTGCCAAGGCAAATTTTCATCTGATTATTTGTTTCTCTAAAGGGAATTTCAATATAAGTTCATCATCCTATAGTTATTAAGAGAAAATGTAAGAGAGACAGCTAGCTCTTTACTCCATGTCCTACAAAGCAGACCTTTTTCCTCTAATAAAACTGTCCATCCTTGCCTTCCTCTCCTTGCATACTTATAAATGCAAAACAGCAATTCTGAGAAAATCTGCACATAGTGGGTGCCATTGTATTCTTCTTCTGGAAATGATACCAAGCTGTCAAGCTGATCTAAGGACTCACTCATCTACAACAGTGGTCTCCAAACTACGACCCAGGGGCCCGGATGCGGCCCTTTGATTGCCTTTTATCTGGCCCTTGGAACACAATTCTTCCTCTAAAATTAACAAAGGCACATCATTTCTCCCACTGATACCAACGATGGCGCACTATTCCTCTCACTGACCAATGATGGGGCACTACCAACGATGGCGCACTATTCCTCTCACTGACCAATGGTGGGGCACTATTCCTCCCACTGATACAAACGATGGTGCACTTTTCCTCTCACTGACCAATGATGGGGCATTATTCCTCCCACTGATACAAATGATGGGGCAATATTCCTCTCACTGACCAATGATGGGGCACTACCAACGATGGCACACTATTCCTCTCACTGACCAATGATGGGGCACTATTCCTCCCACTGATACAAACGATGGTGCACTTTTCCTCTCACTGACCAATGATGGGGCATTATTCCTCCCACTGATACAAATGATGGGGCAATATTCCTCTCACTGACCAATGATGGGCATTATTCCTCCCACTGATACAAACGATGGTGCACTATTCCTCTCACTGACCAATGATGGGGCATTATTCCTCCCACTGATACCAACGATGGCGCACTATTCCTCTCACTGACCAATGATGGGGCATTATTCCTCCCACTGATACCAACGATGGCGCACTTTTCCTCTCACTGACCAATGATGGGGCATTATTCCTCCCACTGCTGCTACAAATGATGGTGCACTATTCCTCTCACTGACCAATGATGGGGCATTATTCCTCCCACTGATACCAACGATGGCGCACTATTCCTCTCACTGCCATTAATGATGGGACACTATTCCTCCCACTGATACCAACGATGGCGCACTATTCCTCTCACTGCCATTAATAAAGGGACACTATTCCTCCCACTGATACAAACGATGGGGCACTATTCCTCTCACTGACCAATGATGGGGCATTATTCCTCCCACTGATACAAACGATGGGCACTATTTCTCCGACTGACACCAACAATAGGATACAGTTCCTCCCACTGACAATGATGTGGTACTATTCCTCCCACTGGCACCAACAATGGGGCACTATTCCACCCACTGTCACCAACGATGGAACGCTATTCCTCCTACTGACACCAACTATGGGATACTATTCCTCTTTGTTCTAGATCAGGGGTCTCCAAATTTTCTAAACAAAGGTCTGACTTCACAGGCAACTTATGTGTTCCAGGTCATACAGCATGAAGCCAAAGAAAGCCAGACAACTATCACTTTCAGAACAGAGTGAGCAATGGCTGCCTCCATATTCTGCTCAGCTCAGGCATCTAGCTTCTCTCAAACAACACTATTTTTAAATCTTATGCTACTAGCATTGATAAATAGATTGGAAGCTATATTGTATTTACTTGTTTTAAACTTTGTCTTACATTTCCTCAGTTGCTTCCTGGTTTCTGGCCTAGGCCAAGATAATGTCATACATGAAGGAGTCCTGATGGGCATTTTTGTTTTTTTTCATCTGGAGGGGCTTTTCTCAGCTCATCCTCCTGCCTGTCTGAGCTAAGGGTAGATGGATTCCAGGAAGGAAATGTTACATGAATCACCTGCCCTTACTTACAATGGCTGTGGCTATAAATGCTAGGGGGTGTTTTTGAAAACAATTTCTCAACAAACTAAAGCATGGAGATTTGGAGGTGGATAGGTGAGTTTGCTGATTATTAAAAATGAATTACATAGAATTTTTAGTTTGTGATACTCAACTACAGTTTGGTTCCACTTTATAGTGAACCTGTGTTTTCATAATGAAGAATAAAGCAACATGTTCACACTAAAGCCCCTCTCTCTAGCAGCTCATACAAACCTTGTCTTTGCTTCTCACTTTAGTTGAAACAGAAAGGAAGATCTGTGCAAGCTCCAACTGGAGCTTATACAGGACTGGGGACTCAACATGTCCACATGTGATAGCCTTGAGCCAATCACCAAGTGCTGTCAGAAGTACCAGATATTGTGGTAGCTGAACAAAGTGGTGGGAGAGCAAAAAAAAAAAGTAGATGTTTCAGAGGAAATAAAATAGACGTGTTGCTTTTGCCTACAAGGAAAAGTTACAGGTTTGCTTTAAATTAGAATGCTATAATGAAAAGTGGCCAGCGGCTGTCACTAATGCTGGCCATAGATTGATCAAAATTCGACAGGTTCAGCGGGGGCCTATAGCCATTCCTGCTCAACAGAAGTCAATCTAATGATCGACTTCTTGTTAGATCCCCAGAAATGATGTCTTTCAGAAATTTGATAAGAATCTTTCTAAACACACCACACGCTTGATTTCACATACAGTGTACGTGTACACTCAGTGGCCACTTTATTAAGTACACATGTTCAACTGCTTGGTAACACAAACTGCTAATCAGCCAATCACATGGCAGCAACTCAATGCTAAAGTTCAAACCGAGCATCAGAATGGGGAAGAAAGGGGATTTAAGTGACTTTGAACATGGCATGGTTGTTGGTGCCAGATGGGCTGGTCTAAGCATATAAAAAACTGCTGATCTACTGGGATTTTCAAACACAAACATCTCTAGGGTTTGCAGAGAATGGTCAGAAAAAGAGAAAATATCCAGTGAGCGGAAGTTGTGTGGACAAAAATTGCCTTGTTGTTGTCAGAGGTCAGGGAGAATGAGCAAACTGGTTCAAGATGATAGAAAGGCAAAGGTAACTCATATCAAAATGGACCAAAATCTCTGAGGAATGTTTCTAACACTGTTGAATCCATTCCATGAAGAATTAAGGCAGTTCTGAAGGCATAAGGGGGTCCAACCTGGTACTAGTAAGGGGTACCTAATAAACTGGCAGGTGAGTGTATACGTGCCTTATTAACAGTATGTTAATTGTTTACATTCCTGTTATAGTTTTGTACTTTTTTTACTATGACAAGAAAACCAATAAACAGATTGAAATTAATGACATCTGTGTGCATGAGATAGTATATCCTGTATAGTCTATGATATATGAAAACCAGCAAAATCACAGGTGGAATGTGGACAGCAAGAGATCACAGTGGTGGGGTTGAGCAATGATGCTGAAAAAAAAAAAAAAAAAAGTTTGTGACGCTGAATGGCATACCTGAAAAAGTCACTGCTGGCTGCCAGCACACATCGGTGGCAAGGAATTACTTCGTCTTTTACATTTATGGTGAAATCGAAGAACATGCCCTGCTCTCTGAAACTCTGCAGCACTGTTAGTATCTGCTGTCCATGACCCTCTGCCACCATGGAGATGGATTTCTTTTCAGTGGAAGGAAATCCATTGCACATCGACCTTCCAAATGTGTCTCGTGGGCAGTCCATGGTGAGATAATGAACACAAGTGAACTAGGATAAAACAGAATACACAATTAAACAGATACTGTACCTTTCGGCATTAGACAACCATCAAAGAGAGTGCAGTAACTTAGTAGTTGGCACTCCTCTGTCTCGCAGTACTAGAATATCTGGTCCCAATCTCAATAATGACACTACCTGTATGGAGTTTGCATGTTCTCCCTGCGTTTGTGTGGTTTCCTCCAGATGGGGCAGCACAGTGGCTAAATGGTTTGCACTTCCGCCTGGCAGTACTAGGGTCGCTGGTTCAAATCCCGACCACGGCACCACCTGCCTGGAGTTTGCATGTTCTCCCTGTGCCTGCGTGGGTACTCCGGTTTCCTCCCACTCTCCAAAAACATGCTGGTAGGTTAATTGGCTCCTGTCTAAATTAGCCCTAATATGTGTATGTATGAATGTGAGTTAGGGACCTTAGATTGTACACTCCTTGAGGGTTAGGAACTGATGTGAATGTACAATATATATGTAAAGTGCTGTGTAAATTGATGGCGCTATATAAGTACCTGAAATAAATAAATACTCTGATTTCCTCCCACACTCCACAGACATAGTGGCAAGTTAGTTGGCTCCTGTCTCAATTAGCCCTAGTATGGGTGCTTCTAGTATTGCTACAGGTTTTGAGACCCCACTGTGAGAAAGGACACTAGGCCACAACACCGCTTGTTTTTTTTTTCTGCCTCATGGTCACGACCTGGGCAATTTTTGTTACAAAGCTTGTGTCTACGTCTAGGGGTCCTTTGGTTCCTTCCTAAAAAAAAAACGAACAAACTAGTATTTTGTTAAAAAGAAACCGCCATTGTTTGTGATACACAGTGCGTTAACTATTAAGTCATTCAGTTGGGGTTTATAATTACTTTAAAATGATGTAAAGTTGTAATTAGTGTTTGAAAGTGAATTAGTGGTTGTGAAGGCTAATCATTTCTTACCTTAAAGTGGTTGTAAATCCCTACATATACCCAGTGAGGTGACTGGCCTCAGGTGACACCCAGAGATGAAACAAATCCTCCTACATAAGTTGTATCTGTATATCTACCGCTGTCTGTCCTCTACATCCATTCAAAGTGCAGAATTTGCACATGATCTCTCAGCTCTGGAAAGCAGGGGGTGGGGAGCTAAAGTTACATCAGAGAGGGGAGTTCTAAGAGCTGATTGGAGGGAAGCGACAGACCCCCCCCCCCCTTCACACAGCACACAGGAACAGAGCTGAGGCTGTCAATATGTTTGAGGTCCCTCCCGTCACCATTTTTCTCTTGGTGTCAGGAAAACTTGTCAGAAATTATTAATGCCAATAGCAGAGGAACAAAGCAGCAGACAAAAATGACACTTGGTGCTCCTAATTGAGAAAAGTGCACACTATGAAGTGATTTGCTTTGCTCCTATTTCATGTCTGAGGTTTACAACCACTTTATTACATTCCCTGCGTGGAGGTGAAAATCTTTAGGTATCAGTATGCCCCCCCTTATACTTACCTGAGTCCTCACTTTGCTGCAGCATTTGGAGCCATTGGCTCCTGCTGCTGTCAGTGAAATCCTGTGATGTGGGGGCGGGACCAAGCCCTGTTGTTGAATCTATGGATGCAAGCAGCACGGCTTGAGAGCTTGTTGGCAGGCGTGCTCCCACAGCAAACCACTTGCTATGGGGGCACACAAAGAAGAGAAGGAGCCAGGAGCACCAGTGGGGGACCCAAGAAGAGGAGATTTGGGGCAGCTAAGTAGTTTGCAGATAAGGATGGACATCTTTATAGGCTCCTCTCTTTTTTTTTTTTTTTTAATATTTATTTGGTTTTTCAGATTAACAAATTATACAAAGAAAACAATCACAATATCAAAAACTTCAATCTTTTCATCTTGTCCCCCCCCCTCCCAAACCCTCCCCTCCTACCTATTAACCAGCCTTCACCCCCCCCCCCCCCCCCACGACTCTGCAATTTCCTATTTCTGTCTAAGCATCACATCTCAACAAAGGAGGGAGCAGATAAAGATCGTATTGTTCTATATTAATCACCCATCAGCTCCAAGTATAACTTTGACTTTTAAAATCCTCCCATTTGCTCCATCTTATATGGTGACTCTCTATCTTATCTTCATTAATATGGAAAAGTTCCTCCAATTTATATATTTGATCTACCCTGTCCACCCAATCTTTTATATTCGGCACCTCCTGTCTCCTCCAGAACCTGGGTATCAATCCCTTTGCTGCATTCAAATAATACAATAAACCAGATTTTTTTATTTTTTGACTGAAAGCGTGGTACTGTGAAAAAGGCAAGTCTCTGGATCTTTTATTACTTCTACCTCTGAGATTTTTTGAATCAAACTTACTATTTTCCCCTAATCTCTTGGATTTTAGGACATTCCCACCATATATGATACATTGTGTCTCTACCTCCATATCCACGCCAACACAAAGGTTAATTATCGCCACTTATTATCTATTATACATTTATTATTATACAGTATATTTATAAAGCGCCAATAGTTCGCTCAGCCACACTCGGTGTAATGTACCATCTTGCCAAACATTTCTAATTCATCTCGACCTCCTTCATATTTACATTCCCATGAATTATTCTATACATTTTCCTCTGTTTTTCCACATCTAGTGTTATTCCTATATCCCTTTCCTATTTTTCTATAAATGAAGGCCTTGTATCAGTGTTATATGTTATATCAGTGAGAATCTTATATATTTTAGAAGTGTTTCCCATCTCCCCATGTATCTAACAACTGTTCAAAAGGGTTCCAGGCTGAAACTGTTCACTCTAATTTCACTGCACACTGTGAGCTTCTCACAATCAGATAGAGCCCACCTTCATCTAGCCTCATCTAGCATTTTCTTCCCCAGCCTGATTGTCCCTGGCCCACCCCTTGTATTCACTGGATTTTAGTTCTTTCAATCATGGAGGTTCAGTATCACAGGCAAGCTTTATCTAGAAGGGTCTGCAAGCAAATGCAGCCTGCCTAGGAATGCCCACGCCTGCAAACTGACATACACATCATATGCAACATCTCCAAAATACGTCCGTTCCTAACCCCGGAAACTACTAAGCAACTCATTCACTCCCTTATTATATCACGACTTGACTACTGTAACTCCCTCCTCGCCGGCTTACCTCACCACAGGCTATTCCCGCTTCAGGCGATCCTGAATACTGCGGCCATACTCATCCACATTACCAACTGCTCCGTATCCACCACCCCCCTCTGCCGATCCCTCCACTGGCTTCCGATTGCCCAACGAATCAAATTCAAAATGCTAACATTGACGTACAAAGCTGTCCATAACACTGCCCCAAACTACCTCACCGACCTGATATCCAAATACCACCCAAAACGTACTCTCTGCTCCTCACAAGACCTTCTTCTCTCTAGGTCCCTGGACTGCTCCTCCCATGCCCGCCTCCAGGGCGTCACCCATCCTCTGGAACTCCCTACCCCAATCCATCAGGCTATCACCTACTCTCCTCTCCTTTAGGCGCACCCTGAAAACCCACCTCTTCAGGGAAGCCTACCCCACTCTCAGCTAATTGCCGATCTCCTCCACTCTTCCTACCACTCCATCCCCCACAGCTATTCCTCCTGTACCACTGTTCCCTCCCTCCTAGATTGTAGGCTCCAAGGAGCAGGGCCCTCGAACCCCTCGTGTATCGCATTGTATTGTTATTGTACTGTCTCGTGTACTGTCTCCCATTGTAATGTACAGCTCTGAGCGAACTGTTGGCGCTATATAAATACTGTATAATAATAATAATAATACACCCACCAAGGCATTTTTATATTTATATACAAAAACTCTTGGTAAGATATAGCTCACTTGCTTTCACAAAGGCTGGGAACTCTTGTGGAGTACGGAGGTAGGGTGCTGAGATTTATTTTCAAGAAACTATGTACAGTACCTACTGGACCCTCCAGCAGCCTAGATCTGCCTGCAGTGCACAGAGAAGCATAGTTTACTAGGCATTAGGGTTGCACTGATGCCCCGATATCGAGTACTTGCTATCAAATACCAGTGCAAATGCTCCTGATATTGAAACCAATACCTTTGTGGTGTGATTTGAGCCCATACAAAATGAATGGGCTCAAGGTGCACTGCAAAGAATTGCATGCAATTTGAACAGGAATATGGTACGATTCCGATAGGAATCACATGCAGTTTCCCACACAGCTCCTGAGTGAACCCAGGCTTGTTATAGTGACTCTGAGCCTTAGATCACACAGGAGCGATGTGGGGAAACTTCCCTGTATGACAGGTTCCCTCAGCCCCTGATCCCACTCTGTACAGCAGCAGTTGTGGCTTGGGCTCTCCCTAGCCTCCGGCGGTTTCAGCCATTCACTGGACCCCCTGCCCATCCCACCCTGGTCCCGTGTACCAGATTGCCAATTTCCGCTGTCAGACAACAAAAAGCCGCTTTACAGGTCCAAGGATTTGAAATCCCTGCAGTGCTGACAGTACGGACTATTGGGAATCTAATTGGTCAGCATGCTCACATGGACAGCGATGACCAATCAGATAATAAAAGGACTTGTTAAACGTTTGGATGTCCATTTTTAGGTTACATTTTGTGAAAATGAGTAGGGGTATGTACTCCTTACTCATTCACATCAGGTCAGGGCAGGATCTGGGGTCCTCATATTTTTAAAGAGAACTTCCAGATTCTGATGTGCTCATGTGGTCTGGCTACATGCTCAGATTATAGCAGTATTAAGCCAAAAATCAAACATTTATTATATTGCAGCTTACCAATTCCTAGATGTGACAGCTGTACTAGTTTCCTTTTTTAGATTTTCCTTTCTTGTATTTCAGGGATCACTAAATGGTAGACTGTGGTCCACACCCAGACAAAGTGATAGTCCTGTCTGGACCGCGGCCACGATTTAGCAGCTGTATGTGTCCTCTGCAGTCTCTCACCAAGCTGCTGCAGATCAGAAAAGACAGTGGGAGTCTTTTCAAATTAACAAGCGAGTAAT